ACACACACACACACACAGTATATGTAAGTCACCTCCACACAAGCCCTGCCTCAGCAAGGGCCCAGGGCAGAGGCTGTGTGTATGTGTGTGTGTGTATGTGTGTGCGTGTATGTATGCGTGTGTGTGTATGTGTGCCAGAGCCAGCACATGGCAGAGGGTCGGGGGACAACAGAACGGCCCCTGGAGCGCTCCCCGACCCCCTACACGCACACACACACACACAGAGTCTCCCCTGCAGGTATAAGTGGGTCCTCCCCGAGCTGTGCCTTTTCTCCGGCTCTCCTTGGCCTCCCTGCTGATCATGTGATGTGACAGCCAGCCTAAGGTGCGGCCTGCTCCACCTCTTTGATACGGTCAGATCGTTGCACTATCACTTCACCCAATGTTCTCTCCCGCATACGTGTGGCGGTTTTGGACGCACAAACCCCCCTCTCCCAAGAGACCGCTACACACACACACAAGCACGGGCCCGCAGAGAGTTATGTGAACGTACAAGAGAAAAGATAATTAGTGACGCACAAACGCAAGATGTGGTGGTGCAGAGAGAGGGACGCTCCATCACAAAACGATACACAATTTTAATGTAGTTGTTAGAATCACTGTAGCTGTCACTGGGTATAGGAACATATAGACGTGTTTGTGTGTGTGTTTGTGTCTGGTCTCTCTCTCTTTGGTCTCGCTCTGTGGTCTCTCTCTCTTTAGTCTCGCTCTGTGGTCTCTCTCTATTTGGTCTCACTCTCTGGTCTCTCTCTCTCTTTGGTCTCGCTCTCTGGTCTCTCTCTCTTTAGTTTCGCTCTGTGGTTTCTCTCTCTTTAGTGTCACTCTCTGGTCTCTCTCGCTTTGGTCTCGCTCTCTAGTCTCTCTCTCTTCGATCTCGCACTCTGGTGTCTCTCTCTCTTGTCCTTGGTTTCTCCCTGGTCTCATTCTCCTTGGGCTCTCTCGCTCTGATCTGCTCTCTTTGGTTTCTCTCTCCCTGGTTTCTCCCTATCTCTGGTCTCTCTCCCTGGTCTTTCTCTCTCTCTGATCTCTGTCTGGTCTCTCTCCCTGTTCTCTCTCTCTATGGTTTCCCTCTCCTTGGTCTCTCTCTAGTCTCTCTCTCCCTCCTCTCTCTCTCAATCTGTTCTCTCCCTGTTCTCTCGATCTCTCTGTGTCTGGTCTCTCTCCCTGTTCTCTCTCTCTATGGTTTCCCTCTCCTTGGTCTCTCTCTAGTCTCTCTCTCTCAATCTATTCTCTCCCTGTTCTCTCGATCTCCCTGTGTCTGGTCTCTCTCTCTTGTCCCTCCCGTTCTCTCTCCTTCTCTCTCTCTGCTCTCTTTCTACTCTCTCTCAGACATATATTCTTACCCCCTCCCACTCCTTGCTCGCCCTGTTCTTGCAGGTGCTCTCTCTCTCTCCTCACCTGGTCCATAAACTTTAAACCAATTTGAAAATCGGTAACAAAGGTGATAATAAAGAGGCAACTCCAAACTGCCGCCGTGGAGAGGTCCGCGGGGAGCAATCAAAACCACATCCAGAGTATTTTATGAAGCGCAGAATGGATGAGGCCGAGCTCGCGATGGTTTTCAATATCCCCACACTTAGCCGCGCACACACAACCCGCGCACACTTAGCCGCGCACACACAACCCGCGGTTATTTACCCACAACCACGAGTCCTCTATTAGATTCACGCCGCAATATCTCGTCTCGGAAGTTGGAAAGATTTTGTAAAAGTTGTAACAAGAAGCTAATGCGCCGCCGTCTGTTCTCTCCCTCGCCCCCTTCATTAGCTAGCGTTCTAATCTGCCGATGTGGCGATAAAAAATGTACACCAACGGAAGAATGCGTCGCTGGTCTGACACGCCATTTCGGGGTGATGCATGGTCCGGGGTGCGCACTCCGGGTTTTGAACACTTCCAATTGAAAGGTCAGCGTGGTTTCCATGACGGCTAGCAAAGAGCGCGCATTCAATTTTCCTTCTTTTCTGTCCGCGTAAACAAAGGTTGCGGAGATGCTAGGCGCGATAGGCCCCGTCATAACCGCACACCAGCGAGCGCGCCGTTGTAATCGACCTAACCTGTTTATCTGTAATAGTCCCAAGCCGCACCATAAACACAGCGGGTTGCCTTTCGCGCCGGTATCCGAGAAAACCAAGTTGTTATCTGAACATATGAGGCATCTGCGGCTATCTTCCATCACGGCCGCAAACCGTAATAGCTTTTAAAGTAGTTACCTGCAAAGTCTTGACATTTATTACGGCCGTTTTTGCCCGCCACGCTGCGCAAAAAGGACCCGCGCTATCGCCAGCAAAGATCAGTATGAATTATTGTTTGGAGCCAAGGTGGAAAATTGTACTTTGGCGTGGCGTTTGGGCGCGATAAATCAAGCAGTCAGTTCTACACATCGCTGGGCCGGGGAAAAAGGTGCTGAGGGCAGGGGTTTTTGGAGAGACCGCAAGCCGCCGCCTCTGTCCATTTCCGCCCATGTGAAAAAGCTTCCACCAGATCGACTTTAGTCCATTGCTCAAACAAGACTGGGAGGGTTAAGAGAGGTGTCGGGGAAGATGGCGGTTACAGCTGCGGCAGGAGGAGGTTCTGTAAGCAATACGGACCCCGAGGTTTGCAAGAAAATATGGTGGAGATATGAGCGGTTTGTGGCAATTAGTATGAACTATATGTGACGGAGACAAGAATTGGAATTTTAGTTTATAAATGCCGCAATATTGGCCTACTATACATCCATCCATTCATTTTCTTCTGCTTCAGCCAGTACCGGGGTTGCAAATTCTCCCTAAATCACAACAGCAGAACAGATCAGATTCTGAATTAATAGGTTGAAAGACAGGAAATGCATAAATGGCTGAGACACGACGATCATTTCTCTGAATAGCAACATCTGATATACTTTGATGAATACATTTCCATAAACACAGAGAGATCAGAGGGGATAGGTTGTAGATAAGGATTAATATCTCCATTCAAAATTACACTTTAATATAAAATAAAACATGAGAATAATTATGGCAAAGATTATAAATGACCAGTCCCTGTAATGTCATTTTTAATACGCTTTTCGCTCCAGGTCAAATCATGGGTCATATTTAGCGAATTTTGTTTCGATTTTTTTTGAAGGGACAATGTACAGAGACATGAAGCTCAAAGACGGATATGTTCTGCACCGGATTATAACTAAACATTTGTTAGCATACTGTAGGTACTTTTTGGTCCCTGTGTCCAGTGCATTTGATCCATCCTGAATGCCTCTCGGGTCTCAATCAGGAGCAGTGGTCGCCGTGGTAACAGGAGGCCCAATCTAGAGAGCTGGATGATTTTAACAATTGTACATGTTTTGGTGGAAACCGGAGCACCTGGAGGAAACCTGCAAAGATAACAAGGATTTGAACCCTGGACATCCTGGCCGAGAAGCGAGAGCGCTAACCACCCAAGGAGTATAGACCGATACACATGGTATGGAAACATGTATTTCAAGGTTTGTAAAATTTTTCACTTGCAGATCCCGTCCGACCTCTGAAGCTAAGCAGGGAAGGGCCTGGTTTGTACTGTGATGGGAGGCCTCGGGGAACACCAGGTGCAACAGTGTATCCTGAAAAACGCTGTACAAAACCCTTGCATTATTATTTCAAACTCTCTGAAATAAGATATTTTTAAATTCTTATTTCTGGTAACAAGCAGATCCACTGGTGTCAGATCCACTGGTGTCAGATCCACTGGTGTCAGATCCACTGGTATCAGATCCACTCTTGGAATAACCAACAGCACCTTGTAAATCACGGATAAAAAGCCAGTTTCTATTCTACTTTCTGGGCAATTCGTCGGGAGAATTTTTGGCAAATACTTTAATACCATAATTGCCCCATTCATGATTAAAGCGGCGCTCTAAAGACAAAACGGGCGCAAATCTGAAGACAAAACCTTCCCTTTCTCGCCGCCGCCAACAACCGGTTAAAATATTAAACACGTGAAATGAAAAACAAAGCATTAGGCAATTGGGAGGAGAGCGGCGCGTCTAGACCCACTTACAAAAGAGTGAGTCATTAACGTCTAACAAAATCCGGTGTCTGTCACTTCACCTAGTGCCAACGCCTACTGCAACGCCGCGGTGATATCTACACAACTCGCACCGCGCACGCACACACACACACACACACACGCTCGGTCCTCCCTCATCCTCATCAGTACACGACATTGCGAATGTATTCTTAGAGACGGTTTGATCGGGGGCGGAACTGGGAAGCCAGCTGGGGGGGGCCGCACCTTGCGGTAGGTCGGCTGTCCAGCTCTGATTTCGGGCATCAGTGAGGGCTCTCTTCCCGCTCGGTTGAGAGCCAACCAATAAACCACCCCCCTCCCACAAAGACACCCCCCCCCCAAGGATGTGAGACATTTTAACCGAGATTATACTAGTGGTGGTTTAAAACGAAAGGCGAAGGGATTTTACCTAGTGGTAGATAAAGCTGGGGGGTCGTAACTGTTCTATGTGGTTAATATTGCGTGTTTTAAAGGTTCCTTGTATCAAGTAGGTCTTTGGTGATGATTGTCAGACCACAGGCTGGCTCTGTCCTTGTTGTACCAAAACTATTGTAACGGAGCTTTGGCCTGACTCGTTTGTCCAAAATATGCGCTTCATAACTGAATCTTACTTATTCTTGATTACTGAACAATATACTTGAGATGTTAGGCTGTGGAGAGGGTCGCACCGTGAGTGGAGTCCTATCGGACACTTTGTGAGGGGAGCTGATTGGGCTTGCGTACATTGGTGGTACTCTCTTTTTTTTTTCCATTTTAATGCCCCGAACCAGCCTGAATGAGAGGGATCCCAATAAGAGAGCGACCAGAGATAGGACCAACGAGAAGAAACCAGAGAGAGATAAGGGAGAAGAGACCAGAGATGAGAACAGAGAGAGGGACCAACGAGAGACCATGAGAGATATCCGGCGAGAGTGACCAGCGGGAAAACAGCGAGAGGACCAAACTCAGTAGAACACCAAGAGACCGGGAGATCAGGCGAGTTGTTTTGAGAACTAAACGTGAGGGGACCAAAGAGACAGATCAGAGAGAGAACAGAGAGGGACCAAAGAGAGAAACCAGAGAGAGAGAAATGGCTCTTGCTGGCTCTCTCTCCAACCATAGAAACTGATAAACCAGAGAGAGAGCAGAATAAGTTAAGACATTCTTGACAAAATATTTCACTTCTGATGAGTTGCGTTTGTTGTTGAGCCAGCTAACCTCTTCAAAACAGAAAAGAGGATTTGTTTTCGTTATTCTCTCCACGTTCCCGGCACACACACACACACACACACAACTCACACCCCCCCACACACACACAACCCTCACACACTCAACACACACACACACTCACACCACACACACACACCACACACACACCACTACACCACGACCGCCTTCCTCGCTCAGCCGCTATACGTCGACGACCCACTACCTGTGCCCATATCTCGTCCCGACCTCCACCCGTCCAGGGCAGGCGTGGCGGTGATGCAGGGGGTAAACACGGCGGCCTCACGCAGACTTATATGATCCCTTTGGGGGTAATCGTGTGTGAAGGCATGAGGATCCAAAAGGGGCCGCTCCGACGTATACACTGCTGAATCAGGAGCCCCCCCTTGGGAGACCGCTGCGGCTGATTTGTGAGGCCATCTCGCTCAATTTGAAAACGTGCGATACAGATACTCTGAGGGGTGTTATAACGTTAGTATCAAGGCAAAGAAAATGAATATTCATAAGAAGCAAAGATAAGAGGTGAGTAAATTCTGTTGGGTTTATCGGGAGCCGTGGGGCAGGTGTGGAGAGACATTTACCTACAGTGTGTGTGGATGTTAACCCCGGATCAACCGAGAGCTCCGACGCTAAACTAGGACTCTTGATTCCACAGTTTGTAACCGGGTACGAGAACCTTTAACCAATTATTAAAAAAATGGGAAAAACACTCTTGTTTTCAAAAGAGTTGGCTTCTATCACTAGTTTTCCCATGCGTGACTCTCTGGTCTATATATTTAGTTTAGCCTGGTATCTCTCTTTGGTCTATCTCTCTGCTCTATCTCTCTGGTCTCTCTTTGGTCGCTTTCTGGTCTCTCTTTTTGGTCTATCTCTGGTTTCTCTCTTTGGTCTATTTCTGGACTTTCTCTTTGATCTCTTTCTCTGGTCTCTCTCCTGTCTCACCCTATGGTTTCTCTCTTAGATCTCTTTCGCTGGTCTCTCTCCTGTCTCACCCTATGGTTTCTCTCTTTGATCTCTCTCTGGTCTCTCTCTTTGGAGGAGGAGGCAAAAAACACAACATTATTAGAAAAAAACCGCTGGAGCCGGGGATTCCACACAGTGTTAACTCTGTATGTATGAATACTTTCGTACATCTTATTAGTTTTCCATTGTTTGAAAAATACCAAAACCAAAAGCTGTTATAATTCAAATAAAAACTGTATGGAAGTGGTTATAAACAGGACAAAATGTGCAAACGTTCTGGGTGTATTCGTGTTTGGAGAGGCACTGTATTCTGATTAGCAGCTTCTTAAGACAATAGCAAGTACTCAAAAATATCAGGTCTTTTCGGAGTTTGTGGGGCGCCAGATAATGTACACACACTTAGGTCTTTAGGCAGTTTACGGGGCGCCAGATGAGGTACACAGAATGCACCCAAAGGCAAATGAGTTCAGCCCCGTCTTCGGATGAACATGTCAGATACAATCACAACGTGTCAGAATCTATATCACTGAATTAATAGCCTCTTCGCCGCTAAATGAGCAGCCGTCCACCTGAACCACGGTTGTAATTACTCCTACATTACCGGCGAGCCCGACTCCCATTCATCACCGCCACTATCTGAGACGCAGCCAATCAGAGCTCCGATTGCTTAGAAGTAAAGAAAACAAGATAGTCTTCCCTCGCCGACCTTTTGACTGGCACGCTCCCAGGACATCCATCACGGTAACTTCGGACGTGCACTCGATGCTGGGGATCGGGGCCTCACAGCGCGGTGAAAAATGAGCGTGCGGTATCGGCCGTCAGAGGGACCGGGAGCGTCCGAACTCAGCCCCCGACCGGGAAATAGATGGCGAGGAGTTTAAGATAGAGTCGCAAGTGGCGTTTCCTTTTGTCACGCTAACAACTTCAGAGGGCAGTGACAATCAATGGGGGTAGATAAGGGGTGTGGGGAATGGAGAGTGTGTGTGGGTGTGTGTGTGAGAGAGAAAGAGAGAGAGGGGGGGGGGGAGAAAGTGAGAGGGGGAGGTGGGGTGGTGCCAGAGCAGGTATTTGATGTCGTTACTCATATCTGGCTTTGTTCGGTTGGTAGAGGGATGTTTCAGAAGGGTTGACAAAGTTTCGCGAGATTCAAGAACAGGACTCGGTCAGCGCGGCCCGTCCCTGAAATACACAGAGAATACCAGGCCGTGCAATATCAAAACTGTTATTATTATAAGCTGTAATTTAAACACAAAAATGGTCCATACACAGGAAAAGAGACAGGAATGAACATCAAGGGGATAGGGTTTCAAAGGTACAGTATTCATCCAGACAATACTTTTGAAATTGATTTGAATCTGAAAGAGTGGTCAGAGAGGCTGAATTTGAAAACTTTTAGGCAATGTAATGTAAATCACTTCATCCAGGTCTATGTGTGACTGGCTTCAGGTGGACTGGTCTTCTGCTGGGACTCTGAGGAGCACAGGAACTGGCCTCCTGCTGGGACTCTGAGGAGCACAGGGACTGGTCTCCTGCTGGAACTCTGAGGAGCACAGGGACTGGCCTCCTGCTGGGACTCTGAGGAGCACAGGGACTGGTCTCCTGCTGGAACTCTGAGGAGCACAGGGACTGGCCTCCTGCTGGGACTCTGAGGAGCACAGGGACTGGCTTCTGCTGATCCCAAAATGACGACTGAAAATGGGGATGGAGCTTTGCAGATTCATGCAGCTAGAACCTGAAACAGTCTTCCTGAAAATATGAAACAGGCTTCTTCTCTGAAAATGTTCAAACCCAGGTTAAAAACACAACTTGCCCCGGGTACAAACTGTGCCATACAAACAAACTTTCCTCTCTGCACATGTACAGCACACGGCAGACCTCTGGCGGTCCCCCTGGGGTGCCCTGGGGTGCTCCATGCAGTTGCGTAGGTGAGTTTTCTCTGCCTGAACTCCTGCGTGACTGCTGTTGCTGAGGACCTAATTGATTGTGTGCAGTAGCAGTGGCTTAGCAGCTGGCGCCCGCGATAATCCCCGTCTGTCCCGCATCAGTCGGACGTATTGATGAAGCACTCAGGGCTGTAGAGCTACATTTACTCGCCACATTAGCCCATTACGGTTATGGGCAGACGGGTAAGTAGAAAGTCTTTACCTGAAGAGCGATCGCGGAGACGACAGACTGTGCCATAAGTCTGTGACGGCTAATGCAACTGTTGGCGACAAGGATGTGACAGATTAAGAGATGCTTTATTATAGCGGGGAAATTTCAGTGTTGCATCAGCAGTTACAGAACAGTAGGAATGAGGAGCACACAACACAAGATATATGAACAATTATAAGTATATAATGTCTACCTTTGTATAACGTACAATGTATTCTTGTGTAAGTTATATATAGTTGTATGTATACATCTGTAGGGGTTATGCAATACCACTAGTCATTAGTTTGTACAGTAAGAAGAATTTATGTATATATATTTTACAGACCAAAGTCCTCCAAAGCGCTTTGTAATTGTTGAGAGTTCAGATATGTACTGATTGGACTGTGGTATATTCAAAGTTCAATAATATCTTCATTGTCTCACCAGGGAAACAGGCAGACACGAATCACAACACTGAAGAGAAAAAGGAAAGGAGAGGAGTTCACAAAGCTAGTTTCAGTGCAAATGTGTTATAAACTGTTGGGATAAATGTAGTTACCAACCTTCGTGTCCTGCACCTAGGGCCTACAGCGCCGCCCTGAGGGTAAAAGTTCAAACCGCGCCCTCGTTTTAGAACAATTCTGGGTTTTATATCATAACTGTGACTTCTGATATTAAATTAAACCTTTTATTTTTGGTATGTGAGGAAGCAGACACCTTAGGTTTCCTTTCCTCAAAGGAAGTTTTTATTAGGTCTTATTAAAAGTGACTTAAAGCAAAAACCTTAGAAATTACTTTTAATTAAATTGGTGTAAAACTCATTCATTTGATATTTTCAGAATCTCATTGATTTGAATAAGAGCCATCAAAATGACTGCTCTGGGAGTGTGAGTGTAAAACATTAGCTGCTTGTTTAATATTGAACAAACTGTTGAACAAACACAAGTGGCAGCTCTGTCCACATTTCTCCTCTTTGCCGTCTCTGGGCCGCTTGTATTCTATGATGTTATATTTACAAAACACCAGCACAGACACAGGCAGCGCTGTGGAGGTGTGTCGTTTTGACCCTTTCAAATATTTAACACCATTATGTGCTCGTGGGTCTGTGCAGATCGCTGCTCTGATGGCGGTTTACGGCCACTCAGGGCGTCTGTGCTGGATCTTTGTGCAAATGCTTTCCTTCAGGGCACTTTGTGGTGTTTGTTTTGTCAATAAACCGCCACCTCGGGCTCCTCGGGAGGCGGCTCAGCTCCTGATCGCCCATGTGGAGACCATTAGAGCCAGGTATATTGATGGTGCTTGGTGCTCTCCTGGTGCGAGGCGCCGACCTGCCGTGCCGACACTTGTTCACTGTGCGGTTCCTGTCACTCGCGGCTCGTCCTAATGGCCTGAGCCCAGTCTGTTCGTGGCAGCAGCCAGGAGCGGGGCGCATGCGTCCTGCGCCTCCATATCCCAGTGGTGCTCTGTAGCGCGCAGGCAGATGGGGTACAGGCGCAGAGAAGGCCCAGGATGTGTGTACTGGCCCTGCCCATCCGAGCGTCGGACATGGCGTCCAGAGACCTGCTCGTGCACTGCCCACACTTCATTAGGATGCCAGGATAATGGCCAACAAGCACGCGCTGTGACACCCCATTTCCTGCGCACTCAGCTCTCCAACCACGACAGATGTCAACAGTGTTGAGCGGACACTAGCGAGGACCCGACACTCCTGTACGCTTGGCGAGGGCCGGTCCCCGCGCTCTGGAAGCTCACGCGCCTTAACAGCCATCCACCTCCAACTTATGCCAATCTCTGCTGCTCATGGCTCTGCTATTCTTCTCTTTCCTTCTATTTGTGCTGCATCTAATTCAGCAGCGTTTGGGATTACAGCTCAGAGAAGGACCATTATGTTGGCTTCCTCGCCGCGCCGCCAAAACCCAAATGATGTATGTGTAGACAAAACATAAACAGATGTTTGAGAGGCTGTTAGGTGGCCGCACGAGGGAGCGAGGGGAGGGGCCGCGCGACTTGCGCTCGGCGCATCAGGGACAATGCGGCGTAAAAGGTGTTATTATGCTTTTGTGGCAGCGACGGTGATGTGGCGGCTGCACGGCTAATAACAGCACACGCTGGAGAGTGCTGTCACATCAGGAGAGAGAGAGGGAGCAGGGGCCGTGGACCGAGGCTAATGGAGGGCCCCGCTGTCCAAAAAAATCAGCTTTTAGCGCAAAACACAGGCCACCACAAGGCGCTCACACAACACGATACGTCAATATGAAAGCCAATTTAATCCCCTCATTTAAATATGCCTCCCTTCCTCTCTCTGCCTGTACGCGAGCTTGAACCCTGACCAGATTTCAAGACCGTGGGGGGAGGAAATTGTTGTACATTTCCTGACAAATTGAGTTAAACGGACATTAAATAGGGCTTTAAGAAAACAAATGGCGGTCTTTATCACAGGTGGACACTGATGGTGTAATGGGAGGCCTGCGCGGCGATGCTATCACCGCTAATGGCTAGACAGGACGCAGGGCGCGGCGAGAGCAGACATGACAGAAGCCTTTTGGACCGTTTTGGTTTTGGGGGAAAGCAGATGTTCCGGTGCACTGGCGCAGGGCCTGGTAGCAGATGCCCATCCCGGTGCCCACCCCCTCCCCTTCCTCCCCAATGTCCTCCTGTTAACCACCCCTCTCCCTGACCCTGTTTACTTATTCATCTATTTGTTGAATTATTCACTCATCCTGTCGCTCGTTTGGCCGTAGAACTGCCGCCCGGAGACACGGACACGGCGCTGGCTTCGGGGAGAGATGACCATTCACTTCATTTATTAGGAAAATAAAATCTAATGTTGGATCTCGCTGGGTTTTACAATGTGAGGGGAGCAGAGGTGACTGTGTTTTGGCTTTATGGGAGAGAAAAGTTTAATAGAACAAAATGCAGGTGTATAAGTAAGCAAACAAACTAAAAACCAATCATACAAGCAAAAATAAATGAAAAATATTCACACATTTTCATCAGAGTGGCTTGGAGTCTTTGGGCAAGTTAAGCCAGATATAAACGAGCTTTCAAAATGGAACCAGACAGTCATTTTTATAACTGCATTTTCTCGGTTATGCCAAGGATGAGAAATGGAAGAGGAGCCAGTCGAGGTGGCTCTGGCGTCTGTTTTGGATGCCTCCTGGACGCCGCACTCAGAAGGTGTTCTGGGCACGTCCCATCAGAAGGAGACCAGGGGAAGACCCGGGACACACTGGATGGGTCTCTCTCCGGTCTGGGAACACCTCAGGATTCCCCCGGATGAGCTGGAGGAAGTGTGTGTGGAGAGGGAGGAGTGGGCGGCTCTGCTCAGACTGCTGCCCCCGCGACCTGGCAATGGATAAAGCGGAGGAAAATGGATGGATGATAGATTTGTTTTTTTGTAAATATGTACGCACGTGTTGACAAATTATTTATTAATTTAAAAAAGGTAAAATATCCGCATAAAAGGTTGGTGTTGAAAGTAAGAAAAGTGTTTATTGACATTTTTATTGAATTTTTTACATAAAGTATTAGATTAATTTAGATTATTAGGATTATTTAATGGTAGATTTTGGACTGAACCAAAACTGGGTCAATAACTGCAGTAGTTATCTAGAAAAAAATTCCATTCGCCAACACAGATCAGAGAATCAAGCCATGGTCCATAAAACATAACATTTCAGGATTGGTCACATATTTACGTTTTTGAATTAGCAATTTACAATCAATTTCTTATGTGTTGGGTTTGAATTTTAAAATAAAATAAATTACATGGTATTTTCCTTGAGAGAATTAGCTTCAAAATGAGGTTCAGCGGCCGTGGCTCATGCTAACCTACCATCAACGCTTCAAGTGATAATTGAGAATCTGCAGGGGCCACGGATCTGGAGGGCCGCATTTGGCCCTCGAGCCTCGCGTTAGACCCCTGTGCTGTGCATTGTCCCTAAACCATGACACAAATGATCTTTACACTACAATAGACACTTTGAAAACACGTGAAGAAGTCCATCTCTGCCGCATTGATCATAACGTAGTGAATTATTAACGTCTTATTCCTGAAAGACCGAACGTTACGGCGCGGTTCAGTCACGTCTCCGTCCTCCGTCCCCCAAGCCACGTAAGGTGCACGTGACTGCCCTCTTCTGGTGCAATAACAATCCCGCACCTTTCATTTCGAGCCCGTGCAAGGTATTCATCCGACTGCTAATCCACCCTCCTGCCTCCCGACTCTCCCAGATCCCACCCCCTCTCTCCAGACGCTTCTCGCCCAAACTCTGAAACTTTTTTTTCCCCTCCTCGCCGCCCCGCCGTGCCCCTAACCCTTTGACGAGGAGAGCCCGCTTTGAGAAGGTACAGCTTGTTTTATTAACATCAAAAGTGCCCTGAGGGAGACGACGCTGATCAAATTCCCCACTAATTAAAAGGAACCTGGTTGGAGAATGTTGCGCTGTTTAATATGTAGAGAACGCCGCTGATTGCACAAAGACATCTCGCTTTTGTGCGCCAGCCCGCAGAGAGAGGCGGACGTGGGAGGAATGAGCTCCTCGCGTTCTCGGTCTAGGTGATGTCTTGTGTCTCTCCGATGTGGATCTGTCTGAGCTCAGGTTTTACGGTGGTGTTTGAGTGATGGACCTGCAGGCGGTTTGGGCCTCGTCCTTGGGTTTGTTTGAGACACAGAGAAACTTAGTGAAGAGGACGCATCAAAATGAGGGTTAAATCTAGAGCAGTGTTCCGGAAGGTTTTGTTTTGGTCGAAGTGGAATTTAGATTGATTCTAAAGTCTTGTTTCATGAAAATAAAAACAAAAAAAATCGTCCCCAGTCAACTTCTCTCGGTCATAACGCATAATACCTGTATTTTCCAACAAGAAAAATAAAGACGTCACTCTGGGTCTTCAGCCTCAGTCCTGGATCTACAGCCTCAGTCCTGGATCTACAGCCTCAGTCCTGGGTCTACAGCCTCAGTCCTGGATCTACAGCCTCAGTCCTGGATCTACAGCCTCAGTCCTGGATCTACAGCCTCAGTCCTGGGTCTACAGCCTCAGTCCTGGGTCTACAGCCTCAGTCCTGGGTCTAAAGCCTCAGTCCTGGATCTACAGCCTCAGTGCTGGATCTACAGCCTCAGTCCTGGATCTACAGCCTTAGTCCTTAGAGTGGGCTACTACTACAACTTACTACTACTGGTGCAATTACTTACTACAAGTATTACTACTGCTACTACAGCCATTAAAACTAAATCTAAAATCCCATATAAAGCAAAGTTTTACACAGAAAGTCGGTGAGAAAACCTTCACAATTAAAGTCCAAACTTAAATCTTGAACGATCCATTTCTCACCGTGACAAGAATTACAAATGTGACACTGTCGGAGATGGATACAATTTTCTATGTATGTGTTTTTGCCGATCAATGTCAAAATCCTACCTGGATCTGCAGGTTATGAATTCCTGAGCTTCAATTCTACTGCATCAAAGACCCCATTGCGTATTTATGTGAAAGACTCCGTTCCTTATGTATTGTGTATTTATGCAGTTGTGTGTGTTATGTTATGTATTATATGTACATGTTGTGAGTGTACGTTTGGGGAACGTGTTGTCTGAAAACAAAAAAATTGCTCTGACAATCACCATTTTCACCACCGATAAACGTTATGGTTAAATAAGTTAAAAAAAATGTATGATTTTATTTATTGATTGATTTGAGCATCTGTTAAAAAACATGCAATATTTTCAGCTCGCAGAGTCGGTCAATTGCGAAAAAAAAAATAAATGTCATACATATACCTATACATATAATGCTTAATATTTTTAAAACATAGAAACCGAAGGAATCCCTCTGTATAAATATTAACAATTGATTAACTTTGGAAACATCATGGAGAAAAAAAAAAAAAACATGTGTTAGTGTTGCATAATCAATTCAATGTATTTGTGTGTTTCCCTAAATCCCAACAGCTGTAGTTTCAGAGGACTGAAGAAAGTTGTGGATTTGCCAACCACGGTTCAAAACTCAGGAAATGCAACAATAACAAACACAGACAGTAGGAGCCTTTGGTCCATAGCGACCGGGACATGTCCTCAATGTCTTTAGACCCTCCAAGATCGGCAAGAAACCTCAGTCCTGGGTCTAGAACCTTTCCAGATCCTTCTCTCAATATCAGCCTTACTCAGATTTAAAGGAGCAGTATGTAAAAATGTGGCCAAAGGTGGTACTGCAGCCTCTCCCACTCTCCCTGACTCAGGTTGCCAGATATGCAGACGAATCCAGCTGGGACCATAACAGCTGAATAAAGTTTTGTCAACAACAAATCTATAACCAACACCTTTTTCACAAAGATAGAAATCCTGGTTTGATTCCTTGTTTTGTCGTTAATGATTTGAGAATCATAACGAGACCTTTTTTAGTTCTGCGCCACATGGTACTTTACCAGTGAGACTAGCTCCACGCGGTGAGTTCTGGCGCCCAGATCACAGACTTTCTGATTGGTGAAACGGTGGAGGGCGGGACATCGAAATGAAAACAAGATATAGCTGTTTAACTAATTCTGAAACTCAAATATCTCTGAACTACGGCTATCAGTTAAAGGAGTATTGGAAAAGAGCAGTTTATTATTACGACAGATTAGGGCCCTTTAATGATGACAGATTAGGGCCCTTTAATGATGACAGATTAGGGCCCTTTAATGATGACAGATTAGGGCCCTTTAATGATGATCTGACATGAAAATCTTGCGTATTGCTACTTTAAATGGTTCCTCTCCGATGCAGGAGGCTCTAAGGACAGAGTCGATCCAGATTCCACAACATTTCTGGATATTTATTAACCTTTCTGGACATTTTTTACCCTTTCCCTATGAACCAATTGCTCTCATGCATTTGTTATCATTGCATTTCTTGTATTCAAACTGTTTTTCTGATCAGCTTTAGGCAAATCCCCAACTTTGTGTGTGTCATTTATAACTTGTTACAGCCCTACTTTGCCACACGGTTCATTCGTCTCTCTACCGCGACCCACACTCCACCTGTAATTATCCCGTCCTTGTTAGCCGTTAGCCGTGAGGTGGCCGACTCCGGGAAAGCCTTGCCCTCCGCGTGGCTCCCGTCCTGGGTCTCTCCTGTCTCTCCTCTGTCGCGCCGAGGGGCAGGTAGCACGCACTCCATTAAACAGACGCCGCGGCCTCACTTTTATTTGACATTTTATTTGGCTGTGACAAACGAGCAGCAGTTGGATTAGAACATCATTTGTCTCCTCTTTATTACCGGCACAAAGGACATCATTCATTAATTATTCCGCCGTCGCCGCTCAACACTAACTGGAAAGGTCTCCGCTTGGACAGATGGCGAGGACAATGTTATTTATATCAATCAGTCCAAAATGTTCAGCCAGGATTACTATTCCTTGGACCGGTTTGATTTATGTCTGCACCTCGCCCCGGCACAGACCTTCGTGGCTCAGGCAGGGGCCGTGTGGGGGGCCGGCGGGGACCGAGGCGGGCTGGCTAGCTAGCTTGCGGGCGCGCGGACCGGAATTCTTATTGAGTCAACACGCTCAGCCTCTCGTTTCCTCCGAGAGCCGCTGTTATGGCGCTTTTATTGACTGTATTTTGAAAAGGAAATATGGCGTTACTTCAAGGGACGATGCAGGCTGGGAACTCGCAGAGAGGGAGTTACAAATAAGTTACTAAATGGGTGGACTAAAGAAGGAAGCCAATTCAATTATCATTATTATTATCATTATTATCTGTAGGCCTTAAAGAAGCTATAAAAATGTTCATAAAAATGCTTTTTACTACATACAAGTTGTATTATAATCCGTAATTTAATTGAAAACTTGAGGTCATTGATTCAGCTGTGTAAGAATTACAAGCAGTGAAAAGTGCTGAGTAGAGTCTGAGCGGGCCGTTTGTTCTCCTCCACTCACAGAACGAGCAGCGAACAGTCTGCGTCCTCTAGTCTCTACAGCGCTGCTTAACACCAGGACTTCAACTTTGAAATTTGAATATAATTCTAAAATTAAAAAAATATGTATATTTGAGCAAATATTAGACAGCCCTCCATCCATCCTTTTTCTACCCTTTAATCCATTTCTGGGTCAGGGGGGTGGCAGTCAGAGATGCCACCCAAGTCTCATAGCACCAGCCCCTCACTGACCCTCTGCAGGTGGTATGTCTTATAATGCGAAATGTATTCAATGACTGCAAATAAAATTGTTAGCTCCCAAAGGTTTCACCGGGACGTCCTAAGGCAGGTAACAGTGAAGCTAGCTAATTCAAAAACTCCCTGGAACTACATGTTAATGGTGACTTCCGGGTTTTTCGCGATAGCTTTTTGATTAAAATAGTAATTTTGTCATGAAAACGATAACAACAAATTCTGAAAACGTCCGTGCATGTGTGTTAAGGATGTATATGTATACTGTATTGTCCGATTAACATTTAATGGTGTTGATTGATAGATATGTAGTTGATTGTTGAGCGTGGCTAGCTAAGCTAGCTCCGCTAGCTTCTACCGTTGTACTTGCGGAGTAATGGCAGTATTTCACACACCTGAATTACAAACAGAGATTGCATTGTCAAAGGGCAGCGGTCATTATTGGTTTGAGAGTTCTGTTATCAGGAAAAAATTATTGGTAGAATTGCATTCAAGTCAATGGAGTGCTGCTGCTGTGAGGAGCTGCATAATAAATTATAATTAAATATTCTAATATATTCTAATGTTAAATTAATACATTCGGATGCGAAACTAGCAGTATTCTTTTACCTATATATTGTGTTAGCAGTGCGTTGCTTTAGTGCCATTTCATCAGTGATTGTTGTACAGCTTGCAAGAAGTTGCGCTAATGCTAATGTTAGCATACATGTCAGATTGTAAATAAAACTAGGTGGCTCCGTGGGATGATAGCGTAGGGGAAATGAGAAGCCTGTGAGCGAGTTGGAGGGCGGTGCTAAACATTCAAACCCGGCAGAAACGGGTATAGCTCCTTTAAGGAGAATACAGTCACACCTGCACACACAAACCAGAGCAACATTGTGACATAAATGTTTTATCATTTTTTGCTTGATTAATTTTTGTCACACATTTTTCTTCTTTGGCATACTTGTAAGAAAGAGCCCTGTGAGTCACTATTTGGCGTTTTGGGCTGAGAGCTCTTTTTCTGTTTTGTAAAGATTGATCTAAAGATTTAACAAAGGGAAGAAAAATATATGAATGTGAGAGACCAGAGAGAGAAAGACCATAGAAAAAGTCGAGAGAGAGGGACCAGAGAGAGACCAGATATCTACAAAAGTGAACAGAGACCAGAGAGGGAGACCTGAAAGAGAGAGACCTGAGAGAAACCTGACCTGAAAGAGAGAGGAGAAAGACCAGAAAGAGAAACCAGAGAAACCAGATAGCTCCAAAATGTATAGTAATAAAAGGCCAGAAAGGGAACAGAGAGTGAGACCAGAGTGAGACCTGACCTGAAAGAGGGAGGAGAGGGACCGGAAAGAGAAACCTAAGAGAGACCAGATAGTTACAAAAGTGATAGTAATAAAAAGGCCAGAAAGAGAACAAAGAGAGCGACCTGACCTGAAAGAGGGAGGAGAGAGACCAGAGAGAGAGACCAGAGAGAGACCAGAGAGAGACCAGAGAGAGACCAGAGAGAGACCAGAGAGAGACCAGAGAGAGAGACCAGAGAGAGACCAGAGAGCTACAAAAGCAAACAGCAATTCTAACTGTCATGTTTTACTATCGGTTCTTAGATGCTGTTGGAGTCACATCACATCACATCCTCTCAAAGGCCACAGTAGATTGTAATTCACAAACAGCGCCGCGTTCTCGTGTCTGTGGCGCAACCAAAACCTGTGAAAATGCGACTACATCCTTACTTTAGATCTCTATCACACGAGGATCAGAGAGAACCTTACAGCGTGTGTGTGTTTTACCCAGAAAGCCCGTCTTCCTTCAGCGCTAACAGCCAACATAATGACTTGTTTTGGCTTGTTATGACATTAGTCGACCCATTTTACCTGCTTCACCTGCTCAAAGCGCTTAAACGAGCTCGGCGGACTGCGGCGTGTAGCAGTTAGAATAATGAGCTAGCGAACACGCTTCCGAGAGCAACAAACAAGACAGGTCTGTGCCGAACGCCGCCCCCGACAACTCCGCATTACCTTTCCTCTGCGCAGGCTAACCGGTCCCACTGCACCAGATATACCCTGTAAATGAATAGCATTTACGGTATAATTAGTTTTATGCAAACTAGTGAAGATGAAAGCAAGAATCTTTATAAATTATGAATGATGTTATAACTTATCAGGGGTGCTTATCATGGAGTTACCGTACCTCCCCGTTAATTAAAGATCTTCACAGGCAGTCAAAAGGCAGACGCAGGGAGCTGGGGTTGGCTCATCAGGTAGCGGTGTCGGAGGGAAAGGCAATTCAGAGAGCTCTTTGTTCCTCGGCTTGTATCTGCGATCAGACGCACGGCAAGGCTTGTAAACAATAACAAGCTCAGACTGTGAATGTGAGAAGCCCGGGTCAGCATCGACCGCTGAAGGACGAGGTGTACAAGAGGGAGGCCATTGGATGCTGTAGGCCAGGAGAGTTCGGGGGTGGTAACACAGGGCGAGATTGGGACGTGTAGTGGTCGGTAATATTCTCGGTCTAAGGTTAAATGTCGAGTGTAAATATCTTCTGAAGGCGGCGATTTGTATATTCAGATTGAGATTGAGATTGAGAGTGCCAGGGGAGATTAGTTTGAGAATGGTAGGGCAAGAAGACAGAGGGAATGTCAAACACTATAGTGATATGGAGTGGAGCCCATAGAATACAGTAATAAGAGCTACAATACAGAATAAAGAGAGAGACCAGAGAGAGGGCAGAGAGAGAGACCAGTGAGGGCAGAGAGAGAGACCAGTGAGGCCAGAGAGAGAGACCAGAGAAAGGCCCGGGAGAGAGACCAGAGTGAGGGCAGAGACCAGAGAGAGGCCAGAGAGAGAGACCAGAGTGAAAGACCAAAGAGAGACAAGAGAAAGGCCCGGGAGAGCGACCAGAGAGAGACCTGAGTGAGGCCAGATAGAGACTAGAGAGAGAGACCAGAGTGAGAGACCAGATTGAGAGACTGAAGAGAGGCCAGAGAGAGACCAGAGAGCTACAAAAGCAAATAGCAAATAATCTCACTTAACCTCACTCTCAGGGAGAGAGGCCAGAGAGAGAGACCAGAGAGAGGCCAGAGAGAGAGACCAGAGTGAGGCCAGAGAGAGAGACCAGAGTGAGGCCAGAGAGAGAGACCAGAGAGAGACACACGTTCAAACAAACACTAAAGGCCATGAGTCCACATAACTACGAAGATACAGAGAGTTCTTCAGTCCAAAAGAATTACTGTTGTGTATATTGTGTTTTTCTGTTGTGACTCTCAGGAGCAGGAGAGCAGTCGGTGCACGACACATATGTTTAGTAGATTGAATTAAATGCAGCTGATTGGTAAATGAAGCTCAGTCTTTGTTTCTTAGTGGCTAAGTGATGATCATTGCAGTAAATCTTGCCAGGAGAATGTCAGCTCCTTCATCCGGCTGTAGACAGGTAGTGTGTGAGCAGAGCCAGGGCCCGCTGCCCAGAGAACAGACCTGAGCTCTAGGTACAGACCACTCTGGCTCCTCCTCTCCTTCTCTCATACATTCTTCCAAACGTTTGCCCATTGACGAGGAAATCTCCCGGGCCCCTGATGGTCCCTGGCTCTGAGTACATGCCCAGTGCTACAGCAACACTCATAAAAACTCAATTCATCAAGACGAGCGTAATTTGCTCCGAACGGAAGGCGCCACAAAAGGGGGCGAGCTCGTCAGTGAGACAGGTGGCTGGAGATCTCGCTCTGATACTGAGCGATATGAATAATAGATTCTGCTAAATGTACGCCAGGACCCGGGCTGTAAACACAGCTGCCTCCTTTCCCTTCCAAAAGAACAGCTTGGCTGGATGAGAAGCCGGAGCTCTGCCTCCACCTGAGGACCGAGGGGGGGCCTGGGGCTGATTAACTAATCAAACCAACGGGCTAAACGGATCCACCGAGACAGTCCAGACAAAGATAAGATCTGTGCTTTGTTACACACTAGACACAAGCAGATACAGTTCAGCTTTTACACACAACACACTGCGAGACTTCAAACACAGCAGATGAGAAC